CACGTTGTAATCCTTATTTCGAGGAGCTAGTACACATGTACATGCAGGTAGTTGAGAATCATCTACATTTGAAAGAGCAGCATCATTGTCCTTCTTTTCCATCTTACGAACAAAGAAGAAACTAAATCGTTCGATAGTAATGAAGCATAATTATTCATATCAAGAAGGAAGCACAATGAATACTAGCTGGAACAAAAGATACAAATATTCATGTGAGAATTCTGAGAACCCCAACCAGTAACGTACCAACACATTAAATATTTCTTGAACAAAGAATACAAGAATTCATGTAAGAGCCCCAACCAGTAACGTGACTAGCTTGCAAATAAACAAAGCATTAATGGGCATCATGTGTCATATGATTGACGAGTATGGATGGTCAGTAAATAAAGACAGAACTCTCTCCTAGCTACTTTGGACAATGCATGTACTACAGTACAGGGTCTTTTGAGCAACTTTAAAAATTCACAAAAAATCTGACTTTGATCGGTATCAGCTCATGGTTGATACACAGTGTAAAAATATGTATATACATGTACATCAGAAAAAAATTATAAAAATGATTACTAGTCATTTTTGACAAAATTTGGCCAAACACCCTCAAACAAAATTTTTGAGCAACTCCAAAAATGAACGACGCATACGTGTAGATGTATAGCATAAGATTATCATTACTCTTTAATTTACTTTTGTTACTGAAGATATGAGTACAGAGACTGGAGGCTCTCCATCAATATCAGACACTATGAATTCATTACCAAAATCACAAAAGACTTGTCTAAAAATAAAAAAAATTTTAGTACACACAGGTAAATTTAGAACTTAAAAAAGTACAAAATTTCCTCTCTCTCTCTCTCTCTTTCCTTACCCAAAGAGTCCTTTGGTGTCACACACGATGAATTTGATGTCATTTGAATGACAGAATTCTCCAATCCTCACCTGATCAGTTAAACTAGAATCAGTGAGTACAACTACCTAAAGAGATACAGAATAAAGAGGCAATCACTGATTGATTCATTCATTATCAGTACTTGATATTTCTTCAGTTTCTCTTCTGACAATTCTCCCTTCAATACGTCAACTGGTACGTATGAATTGAGTTCTGACAGATGAGGCTGACACACGTCAGCTGTGTTCTTACCAACATCATTTTCAGTAAAGAAAAACTAAACAATAAACAAACAAACAAATAAATAAATAAATAAATTCCGTATTACTTGTGATGAGAGATGAGGTAGCTCAATAGTGTCTGGATCATAAATAGTTACTGACTTAACTCCTGCTAATACAACATTCTTAGCTAAGAGAAAAAGAGAGAGAGGAGAGATTTAAACAAGGAGATATATGCACACTAATACACACACACACACACGTAATACACATACCAACTTCAACTCCAAGTCCTTTCATACCAGCAATAAGTACATTAGAGGCACCCATCTTACGCATGGCATCATGACCCAATACATACCTAATACAAGCAGCAACAGGTAATACTGTAAATATAGTATACAGTAATGAGCTTACAATTGACGTGAGTACAATCCTTCATCAATCTCCTTTTCAGTAGAGTCAGCCATTTCTACCTATAAAAATCATAAGGATACATATCTATAACTTCATAAAATATTAAACATAGCCCATAACATAACATAAGTAAAGCTTTAGAAATCATTCATTTACCTACCAAGCAAATTTAAATATATTTAACCCTTTAGCAATGGCCCACGCCCACTTTAATTACTTACTTCTTGAAAGTGGTTCTCTACGCGACGTTTTTTCGCTGGAGGGCTAGACTGTGCCTGTACGTGATTCTCAAATGACATGAAGTGATGAATGAGGGAGGAAACTAATTATACTTATCCAGAAACTACCCTTCAACTCTTATCTCTTGTCTTCAGGGGTAGTTTCTCCGTATATGACGCTCGTGTTGGAGAGTATACGGAGAACTACGATTGTGGCTCTGAGTGAAGATAAATCCTTGCAGTAAAAATGGAAGTTTGCCTTTGATTACCATACCTTTAAAATTATTCGTCTAAGGTACTGAAGGCTTGTATATATTGAAGACCAGGTGCTTATTCTCTAAAACCTGCTCCTTTTCGGTTTACACGCCAAACCACGTGCTGTAGTACGAGCTGTTATTAAAAATAGTAAATTAACCATTGTGGTTATTAGTGTAAAAATGGCTGCATCTTCTGAGATAAGACAGCTCTCAAAGGTTATTGCATTGGTGACTGGAGGTGCCTCTGGTCTTGGAAAAGCAACTGTTGCAAGACTAGCCCGTCACGGGGCAAGAGTGGTCATTGCTGACCTGCCAGGTAGCTCTGGGGAGGAGGTAGCTCAAAATAATGGAGACAACACTCTCTTTGTTCCAACTGATGTAAGATCAATAAATAGATAAATCATTTATTATGCATATGATTGAATTCAGGTTACGTCAGAATCTGATGTTGCTAATGCTTTATCAGTAACAAAGGAGAGGTTTGGTACCATCAATACTGCAGTGAACTGTGCAGGTAGAAATAAAATTAAAGAAAATAATTGTAATCATGGAGTAGTATCTTCACACCAAACCTGGGGTCAAATTTTATTTGCAATTTTCATAGAGGCTCCATTAAAATTATAATTATGCAATTGTAATTGAATGTGTAATTGAGGTTTTGTAAGTTGACCCCAGGTGTGTGATATTGTTCATTGTTGATACTTTATTGTTATCATAACTCTTTATTGTACTGCAAAAGGTATTGGTGTTGCAATAAAGACACTATCAAAAAGAGGCCCCCACCCTCTCTCTCAGTTCCAAAAGGTCCTCAATGTTAATGCCATAGGGACTTTTAATGTAATTCGATTGGCAGCTGAACAAATGACGCAAGGAGAGACATTAAATGAATCAGGAGAAAAAGGTATTAGAACATGTTTCAATTACTCTTAAATTTCTTTTTATTTTTTTCAGGTGTTATTATCAATACAGCCAGTGTTGCAGCTTATGATGGTCAGATTGGACAGGCTGCATATTCTGCTAGTAAAGGAGCTATTGTTGGAATGACACTGCCTATAGCAAGGGATTTGGCGCAATATGGAATCAGAGTCTGCACAGTAGCACCTGGTTAGTTAGCAAATGGATATTTATTCTATTATTTCTTCATCTCTTTTAAGGTTTATTCAAGACTCCTCTTTTAGAGGCGCTACCGGAGAAGGTCCAACAGCAATTAGCCACTACTATACCATTCCCACAGCGACTGGGTGATCCTGATGAATACGCCCACCTAATACAGACCATCATAGAGAACCCATTACTAAATGCTGAGGTCATTCGACTTGATGGAGCTCTTAGGATGCAACCCTAAAGGAAAAAGAACAATTGTTTATTGGACGTAGAAAATATTTTGGTTAGCAGCTGCTTTTGTAGAGCCAATCAGAGAATAATAGTGTGATTTATAATCAATCAGCAAAAAATTATTATAATACAATCAAAAACTCATAGTTTGTTAGCAAAATAATAAAATGAAGGGCTATAAGAAAAAACTAAATAAATATTATTGTGAAAATATTAATAATATAATAATAGTTATCTTAAATCTAAAGCAGTAAGTCAAAAACACCCTCAACTGTTATAAACCTCTTGGATCTTAGAGAGCAAAGCATCACACGTTTTCTTAGCATCTCCTAGCAGCATAGAGGTATTGGGCTTGTAGAATATGGGATTATCAACAGCTGCATAGCCAACTCCTAGCGTACGCTTCATCACAATGACATTCTTTGAACTCCAGACCTGTAGTACTGGCATTCCAGCAATGATCGAGTTAGGATCTTCGAGAGCGGCCGAGTTTACGGTATCATTAGCACCAATGACCAGCACGAGGTCGGTATCAGGGAAATCATCATTAATCTCATCCATTTCTAGTACAACGTCATAAGGGACACCTGCTTCAGCCAGTAGCACGTTGAGTTGACCAGGCATACGACCAGCTACAGGATGAATGCCAAACCTAACGTTCTTTCCTTGTTTGCGTAGCAGATCAACCATCTCAGCTATGGGATACTGTGCCTTTGCAACACAGAGACCGTATCCTGGAGTGATTATTATGTTCTGTGCTTCACGGATCATGTCTACTGTACCGTCGACATTAATCTCTGTATGAGTGCCAGTGATCTCCATTGGTTTACCGCCGAGCGTCGATAGAGTTCCGTAGCCGCCGAAGATGACGTTTGTGAGCGAGCGATTCATTGCCTTGCACATGATGTAGGAGAGTATAGCACCAGAAGACCCAATCATTGCTCCTACAATAGTCATGAGGTTGTTATTAAGCATGAAACCCTCGGCACAGAGAGCCCACCCGCTGTAACTGTTCAATACCGTGATGACAACAGGCATATCAGCTCCACCAATAGCAGAGGTCAGAGTGATACCCATAGCAGAAGAGAGTGCAGCTGTAGAAGTGAGACAAGCCATGTCGATAGTATAGCCAGGATTGGTCATATAATAGCCCATGGCAGCCACATTGGTCAATAGCATACCAGCATTCAGTGCATTGTGTGCTGGTAGCTTGAATGGATCGGATTTCAATAGTCCCTGTAGCTTACCAAAGGCAACTAGGGACCCGGTAAAGGTCACACCTCCAATATAAGTACCCAGGAAGAGAGCTGCTTTGGTGACCGCCCCACTGGAGTCCGTCATTAGGTGAGTGTAGTCGGTCATGTAGGTTGCTACACAAGTGAGGACAGCTGCAAGGCCTACAAATGAATGGAAGGCTGCAACAAGTTGAGGGAGATCAGTAATGGCCATCTTCTTAGCAATGACGGTACCAATGAGCCCACCTACTCCAATTGAGGTAAGCATCTGTGTCATCAATTCAGGCGAAGCTCCCAGTCCAGCCAGAGTAGCAATCATTCCAGTACTGACTCCAATGATACCCAGTGCATTGCCTTGACGTGAGGTAGATTGAGAGGAGAGGCCACCAAGAGCTCCAACACAGCAGAGTGAAGCAGCAAGATATCCCATCTGTTGTATATCGGGGACGCCGTAAAGATGCCCTCCCATATAGCCGGCTAGAAAAGCTGCCCCAGGGATGGCGTAAAGGTAGTTATACTCAGGTGGGTCGGTTGGACGACGGAACATGTCCAACATTCGCTGAGTGATGAGGAACCCTCCAAATATATTGATGGATGAGATAAAGGCAGCAGCTGCAGCGAGAGCAGCTGGAGTAGAACCGGGGAAGAACCCACCACTCATGCACAATAAACCACCGACTGCCGTTATACCTGAAATAGCATTGGTGACAGACATTAGGGGGGAATGGAGTGCAGGGGTGACACCCCAAACTGTATGATAGCCGACGATGACGGAGAGAGTGAAAGTGGTTACCATTGTATTGAAGGCGGGATTAGGAGAAATGAGAGAGAGTCCTAATATGGTACCAAGACCAGCTGTGTACACTAGTGACTTTCTCATTGTTAAATTAAACGGATTCAGTTCTGCTGCTGGAACAACTTCTGCTTTTGCCATGGGAACAGGTGAACTGGGCATGGTCAACTCCTTAGGAGGCGGGGCAGGCCAGAGGAGCTTCCCCTCTTGTAAAACTATAGCACCTCGTACGACCTCGTCTTCTAAATTAATAGCAAAGTGTCCTTTGTCTCCTTCCATTGACAGAAGGAATTTAGAAAGATTATTAGCATACAGTGTACTTGATTGAGTCGGCAATCGACTGGGTAGGTCAGTATATCCAATGTGTGTGACGCCACTATACCGATAGAGCTCGCCTGGTTTAGTAGTGGCTATGTTACCACCTGCTTCGGCAGCGAGATCAACAACTACCGAACCATCCTTCATGCTCTCGATCATCTCCTTTGAGATGAGTTTAGGAGCAGGTTTCCCAGGTATGAGAGCAGTGGATATCAATATGTCTATCTCCTTGCATTGCTTTGCAAAAAGAGCCATCTCAGCTTCAATGAACTCTTTTGACATCTCTTTAGCATACCCACCCGTCCCTTCTCCTTTCTCTTTCACGTTTACTTCAAGGAATTCAGCTCCAAGGGATTGGACCTGCTCTCTCACAGCTTCCCTTGTATCAAATCCCCTCACTACTGCCCCCATACTCTTAGCGGTACCAATAGCCGATAGACCAGCCACACCTCCTCCTATAACTAGCACTTTGGCGGGAGGGACTTTACCAGCTGCTGTTATCTGGCCAGTGAAGAACCGTCCAAAGTTATTAGCAGCTTCAACCACGGCTTTATACCCAGCAATGTTAGCCATTGAACTGAGAGCATCAAATACTTGAGCACGGGATATCCTGGGCACACAGTCCATACCCAATGCTGTTATTTTCCTTTCAGAGAGCTTGTCCAGTAGGTCCTTATTCTGTGCTGGGTAGAGGAAACTGATGAGGTTGCTCCTTTCTCTAAGGAGGCCAACCTCATCCAGGGACGGGGCCCTAACTTTAAGAACAATGTCGGAGGCAAAGGCTTCCTTTTTGGATTTTATGGAAGCCCCAGAAGTCTGATAATCCGAGTTTGAGAATTTTGCCTCTTCGCCAGCTCCATCCTCAACGACGACATTGAAACCGACTTTAGTGAGTGCTTGGACAACAGCCGGACTGATGGCAACTCGTCTCTCGTTTGGAAAAGACTCTTTGGGTACTCCAATTGTTAGTTGATTGTACGGGATACCCTTGGGGGTCTGGGGTGGGGCTTGATCGCAGAGAGTTCTACGAAAAGGTGCGGTTCTTGTCCTCAGTGTGGACTGATGGAGTGGCCGAGGTACAACTGGCCTACCCACAAGACAGGAATTGTGAGTGACTAGTCGGGCAAGCCTGAACATGACTGTAGAAAGAAAAAATATATATATAAATATAAAAAATATGTAGTCTATATAGAATTAAATAACTATAATGTGTACAAATATGCATAAGAATAACAAAAGCCAAAGAAAGCTATTAGTGTATATACATAATTATATTTTAGAATACAAGCAAACTACATTTATGACAAGCTAAGGGTTGTAGCAAGGTACACCTGTTCTCTACAATACAAGCTCAAGTACAAGCTTGCTTGCTACTATATAGCTGAGGCATTTTGCTAAGAAAGGTTCTATTAATTCATTCAGTACAAATAAACCTTTTATTCGACTGAAAGGACTAGACAAAGGACCCAAAGTCACATGTCAATGCAAAAGACAGCAACCCTCCCAAAATTGCATACAAAATTAAAATCACAATTACAATCAATAATGCTTACTTGTATAGGGAAGTAAAGAGAAGCTATATAGTATATAACTATGGTTCCTCCAAGTCCAAAGACGGAGCACCTTTTCCTTAATCTCCTTCCCCAAAGTGTGGGCGTATCCGCACCAACCACACTGTACTGGGCGTGAACATAATAATAAAGTTCAATCATGATTCACTCATTTTATTATTCATTGGTCTAATACATTACAGTATAGATTGAATACACACAATTATTAGCAGTTAAAACTCTGAAAAAAAAAGATGACGTATAAACATTTCCCATTCGATCAAGAGAGTAGCTTCAAAGCAACAGTTTTAGCACTATCCTTGCTCTTAAAGATGGGATGACCAACGGGATTTTCCAACCATGCACTACCACTGCTGCTCTTCCCATTCAAACCAATATCAATGAATGGAGAATAAGGAGGACCTACAACTACTGAAGGAAGGACAACATCGGTACAAGACAATTCCTAAATAAGAATTTAAAAAAGACCATTTTAAGCACAAGTAAAGGACCCTCTCACTTTATCGCTAATAAAAATAGTTGAGCCAGAAAGACTCAAAAGATCTGTCGATTCATTGACTTCAATGACTATGCCCTCTTTGGATTTGGTGTACAAAAATAGTGTCCTTCTGACTCTAATGCCCAATAAAAGATTAGCCTGACAGAAAAAAACAAGTAATAGTAATGCAGCATATGTATATCCACTTCAACAAATCCAAATACCTCAAACTGAAGGTCTTCGAATGAGAGGTAGTTTTTTCCCTGTGGGTTCTCAAGAAACAGACTAGACTTAAAATTTTTTCGATACAGCAACGACTTAGAATACACTTCAAGATTGATGTAACGACACTTGGGGGCGGGGCCACTGCTGCTACTAGCAACAGAGAGAGGAGGAAGAATCCACAAGTGAAGACTAACACCAGATACTCCTTTCATCTAATAATGAGAGAGAATGAAAATGAAAGACTATTAGTAGTATTATAATAACAACAAAAATTCCCCCTTTGTCTTTTATTATAAACTAACAGCAAGAAAGCACTGACCTTCTGATCTTCTTCAGCCATTAGCCCATTTAGTGATCTATCATCAGTCTTAGACAATAGAGGGCCTTTGGTGGTGGTCTGTATTGCATCTTTATGTGTTGATATAACTCTCTGTAGTGTGGCCTCTCCTTCAGGGCTACCAGTCACTTTATACAACACATCAACTTGATCTGAAGGTTGAAGACCAGCCTATACACAATAATACAATCACTTATTGTAAATCACCATGTTTTTTTAACCAATTAGTACCTTTTTTCTCAGTTTTTGTATTTTATTAATGATTTCTCTAGCAATGCCCTCATCAACCATTTCCTGTGATGGAGTAATGTCCAGGAGAACAAGGAAGCCACCATCAGACTGAGCATGATATTGAGACAGAGCAGCATCAACTGAATAAATCAACTAATGAGAACAGAGGAGAATAAAGGAGCATTATCAGTGCATATATTTCTCTTAAGTCCTTACGTGTATGTCTTCTCTGTTCATTGAATGGCCCATTACACTCAGCTCCCCTGTTTCTTGAAACTCTCTCAATTCCTTATCAGTCAAAGCTAAAGATATGCACGAGAATGACAGAATAAAGATACATGCACATATGTAGTACCTTTAATAGCAGGTGAAATATTCTTAAATTCAGCTTTAAATCTCTTCCCAAGTCTATCATTATCAGGCTCAGCAGTAAGCTTGACTCCATATTTACTATCATCCTCTACCAGTGAGAGCTCCTTTACATTCAGCTCCTCCAGTATGTAACTCTTCAGTGATAGGAGCTGCTTACGACAGACGGGATCACGATGAACCACAACAACTTCCGGTAGCGGGTACTAAAAATGAATTTAAGACACACAAGTAAACTTTATGGGTATACATTACAATTGTGTGCTCACCTTGACTGGTAATACTTTGCTTTCTCTGATGTATCGTGCCAGATCAATGACCCTCTGCATGTATGAGAGGCTCTCCTCTATCTCTTTATTAACAAGATCCTTTCTGTAATGTAAGAAATGAAAAAAAAACCTTAGATTATGCAGTAAAGAAAAGTCTTATGAGGTGTTAAATAAAATTAAATTTACATGTACTCCATTATCGGCCCCAGTTGCCACAGTGACAAAGACAAGTGGGTTCCTAAAGGATTTCGTTTTATATTGGCTTGATTCTGGATAAGTAGTAGCATCAAGTAAGACAACTACTTGTGGCAATCAAGCCATTATAAAATTTACATGTACATGTATGCACATATTAGACCAAAATTGGAAGTATACTTTCAACAAACACTGATTCTAAAACTCCCATGTTTGGTACTAAATGACCAGTCTCTATATCTAAGCCAATACCTTGGTTTGGGTATCATCATATAATGGACACTAGCATTAGAGTCATCAAGGTTAGTCGGCAGATAATGACGTAAGCTCTGGTACATGTGCTCAGTTAGGAAAGGAGTGAATGGAGCCATCATTAAAGTCATATTATAGAGGACAGTGAAGAGTGTATCCAATGACTGTATGCAGTCATCATGTCCAAAATCACCCTAAGAAAAAAAGAGAAAATTGATACTTAGTAGTTAGTATGGCTACATGTACATGTATTCCATTATCGGCCCCAGTTGCCACAGTGATAAAGACAAATGGGTTCCTAAAGGATCTCTTTTCTATTGGCTTGATTCTGGATAAGTAGTAGCATCAAGTAAGGCTACTACTTGTGGCAATCAAGCCATATGGAGGTTGAAATAAAACCATTGTGGTATTGCTTTACCTTGATCCTCTTCCTGTTGAACCTGACATACCAGTTAGTCAACTGATCAATGAATTTTAATAGCTTAGGAACAACTGTGTATAAACGATACACTGAGAGAGAGGAGAATATACAACGTCATTTTGCTGTGTAACTTAGTTACTTTTCATTTCTTCTTTTACAAACATGTTAAGAGATTGAGTGAATGAGAGTATCCAACAATCCATAACATTGCTAGGAGTGAAGCCAGGCCTTGACATAAACTTTACACCTTCCTCCTATACAAAATAAAATAAATAAATAATGTATCCAGCCACATTACATGATGTTGTACACAGGGTTTTTCACAAAGCATGCTAAGTAAGCTAAAAAACATGTTTCATGAGCTGACAAGCACTAGAATAGACATGTACATAGCTTTTGGTAACTTTAAAAATTCATAAAAAATCCAATTTTGATCGGAATCAGTTCAAACTTGCTATGCAACATAAGAACATGTATACGTATCAGAAAAAATTATAAAAATGGAGAATTCTCTCTTAGTCATTTTTGGCGAAATTTGGCCAACGACCCTGTACTATAGTACAGGGATTGTGTCCCAATTTTTTAGCTTATTAAAAAATTCATTAAAAATCCAATTTTGATCGGAATCAGTTCAAACTTGCTATGCAACATAAGAACATATATATGTATCAAGAAAATTTATAATAACGGATAATTCTCTCTTAGTCATATTTGATGAAATTTGGTCAACAGTAACTAAAAATCTGCATAAAAATCATAAAAGTGTACCTTTTCTAATCTTGTCACATTTTGCATGAAGAACCTATAAGCATTGAACCAGGGTAAGAACACATCCTTTACAACATCCTTGACTCCACCCTCCTGAAATTTGAGTGACTCCGCCCTAACCACTGGCGAATTGATGAGGTATAGTCTATTCACAAGTAGAGGGATGGGTCATGGAACTGAATGGATAATGGGCAGGTCTACCTCAATGCATCAGCTCCAAATTTATTGACAATTTCGACCGGATCAGGATAATTCTTTAATCTCTTGCTCATCTTCTGACCATTACTGAGAAAAAAGAGGAACAGAGAGGGTATAAGTAACTTTTACAAAAGCCACACCTACAAATAGTATAAACACAATAGTGTGCTTACGATGCTAGGACTAATCCATTAATGATGAGGTTCTTATATGGCGGGTTATCAAACAAAGCAGTAGCAACCACTAGTAGAGTATAGAACCAGCCACGAGTCTGATCGATGCCCTCGGCAATGAAATCGGCCGGAAAATTAGCATCAAACGCTTTCTTGTTCTCAAACGGATAATGACTCTGACCATAAGGCATGCTATGTGGAGAGTATGTGATCATGTGATGAGGGCATGGTCTTACCTCCCACTCTCAAACCAGCAATCAAAGACTTCGGTGATGCGTCTAAGGACACCTTTACCACGAATCGAGGGAATGGTAATATCATCAACACTAAGAGATGGTTTTTAGCACAGTGTATGTAGGTTATGATTGTAACTGTTGCATATTTGGTCTTACTTTTCACGATGCAAATCGGTCACTCTGACTCCAGAATATTTTTCCAACTCGTCAATGCTGCCTATACATACAACCTATTGATGGCAGAGTCTTGTAAGTGTTAGATTCATTAGTGGGTGGCTTACCTCCTCAAAGTCATCAGAGACCCATAGAGGTATAGGCGTGCCCCAGTACCTGTTTCTTGATATAGCCCAATCACGGGCATCTTTCAACCAATTATGAAATCTCTTGTCTTTAACAAACTCAGGGACCCTAACAACAATAATAATAATGATAATACATTATAATTATTATTAGAATTACCAGTAGCACTTTTGGTTATTCTTTAAAAGCTTCTCAATAAGAGACTCTACACGTACAAACCAGGAGGGAACAGCTTTGTATATCAATGGGGTCTCTGACCTACCGTGAGGCAGGAAGAGAACATAAAGAAAAGAATTATAAAGTTACCTCCAGCAAAAAGGATAACTATGTTTGATGGTTCCTTGATGCACTAGTCTACCATTCACTTTCAATAGCTTTGTAATAGCTTTATCAGCATCCTAAGTTGCAATTTACTTAATGCACATAATCCAGGAGTTGCATACCTTTACATACTGACCAGCAAAGTCGGTCACTTCAGGCATAAACTGGCCAGAAGGATCAACAGGGCATATAACGGCACTCCCTTTCTTAAAGATGCCATACCGGAGACAGATCCTGAAATCATCCTCACCAAAACCAGGGGCCTGATGTACCACACCTGTACCACTCTCTGCTGTTACATATGTGTCACTATAGTAAAGAAAATTGGTAAATTCAACCATTAAATAGCATTCCTGTACTTACGTCAATATTCTAAATGCTCCTGTATTATCAGTATTGGTCTTCATGCTCTCAAAGTAAGGGAACAATGGTTTGTACTTCTTTCCTTCTAGGCTCTCTCCAGTCATCTTCTCCAGGACAATGTACTCATCTTGAGTCTTGAACAACGCTTCAAGCCTGTCTTCCATCATTATGTATACACTGTCTGTTGACTTGTCTGAAAAAGAAAATATCAAAAATTAGTTAAGTAATTCAGCATCTTTTTCTTACCTTTAACTTTGACATAGTTCATGTTAGGATGGACACACAGAGCTAGGTTGCTGGGTAGCGTCCATGGCGTGGTTGTCCATGCAATTACACTGACACTTGGATCTTCATCCAATGGAAAATTAACAATAACTATAACAGAAATAAATAATAATAATAATAATAATAATAATAATAATAATAAGAAACAAATACATGTAAATAACAATACACATGTTTCCAGGTGTCAGCACTGACTGTCATAAAACAAATACAGTCAGTTTCCTAACTGGATGCAGTCATTAATATAAAGGCTCTTTCTCAGTCTAGAGGCACTTATGAACAAAACATGACCTCCTCTTATTAGTGAGTGAGCCATGCAGTAAAAATTTAATATCATCAATACACAAAAAAACATGTATATGTAGTCATGATGAATAGAGAGAAAGGAAAGTTGCTAATTATTACTACATTAAGTGACTATTAAGCATAAGTATGTAGGTGTCATCTAATAAGGTTGTCATCTGCTATTAATCCAACAACTCACCAGCAGGATCACTGACATCTTTATAATTCTGGCCAGCCTCAAAGTTAGAGAGAGGAGTATGACAGCCAGTGGAGAATGGCATCACTTTGTATCCTCTATAAACCAAACCTTTATCATACATCTGTTTAAAAACCCACCTAAGACAAAAATAAATAAATAAAAATTTAAATATATAATGTGGTGTACCATATGCTCTCCATGAACCAAGGGTACATGGTCTTGTAATCGTTCTTGAAGTCAATCCATCTTCCCATTCTGGTCACAATTTCCTGTGACAATAGAGTCAGCTTATAATCAAATAGACAAAGCTCACCTCCCACTGTTCAGAGTACCTCATTACGATCTTACGACACTCGGCATTGTATTTGGCCACGCCCATCTTTGTCACATCGTCTGGGGTCTAACAAATGAAAAAATAATAAAATACAATATAATAACAATAAAATTAAATATTAGTGTCACATAGTGTGAACAGGTCTCCCTCAGTCTCATTAAATCAGTATATTTTTGCCTTCACAGTATATCAGGGCATTAAATAATGTCATCAGTGGGAGGAGCATAATAATAATTAATAATAATTGATAATTAATTATTTTGTTACACCTTGAGGCCTAACGTCTTGTCTATCTCGTATTCAACTGGTAGACCATGACAATCCCAACCAAAACGTCTCTCGACATGAAACCCACTCTGATGAGCATAACGTGTTACTATATCCTATGAAAAAATAAAAAGGAACAAGAAATTAAAAAAAGATAAAGGTCACTTAACAATAATTATATACCTTTATTGTTCCAGCTAGTATGTGTCCATAGTGAGGTAAACCTGTGGCAAAAGGAGGCCCATCGTAAAAAGTGTACCTGGGCTTGTCTTTGGATTGTTTCAAGCAGTTCTGAAAGGCATCCAGCCGCTTCCATAGCTCCAGGATCTTCTCTTCTTCCTTAGGAAAGTCAAATCTATCAGGGACTTTGTCAGCCATGCTTAACTCGAGCACGTGTCAAGTGGTATCACTGCGCATGCTCACTAGATTTATTAATTTAGAGTTAACGTTTATTAAAATTTATAATCACCGCCCACTCATTTCTAAATGAAAATTATTATTAATGATAAAAATTGAATTATTATCATAATTATAATCATTATTGTAGCTATTGATTCATTTTGTGTATCAGTTAGAGAACATCTCTCACTCTATTTGTGATGATTGCAGTATGACTTGCAATATTCTACAGAACAAAAAAAATAACAATCAAAGTTATCATTTTTATTTCCATACCTGTTTTAATTTTGACAATGAATTCAGCATTTGCTGTTGACTATTCGACTGAACATGATCTCTCTCAAACAACTAAAAATGTATAATTTTTTTAAATCAAATATTTCTATTTTACTCCTTCTTCTTCTTACCTTCTCTTCTCTTGATCTAATCTCCAGTATTGGTGGCAGGACTTGCTTTCCAGTGGAAGACATAAGACTAGTTTGATCAATGTCTGGCGAACAACTGGCTGCCCTCGCTATATGTGGTGAAGCTTCATGATGATTCATTGATGATGATACAGTTACATGTGGAATACTGGTTGCACCAGTGATAGAAGGCAATGCAGTGAATTGAGTACCAAAGGTCTGAGGGAGTGTATTACTGCTAGCTATAACTCCATTATGAGATGAAGGGATGGAAGGCAATACTGGATTGTTATTATTAAGGAGTACATTGGGCTGAGCTCCAGTCTGACTGCTGGATCCTACAATTGAAGGTAGAACAGCATTCACTACAGAATTCTGAGGAGGGACTCCTGTTGCTTGTGAAGTATAGTTTGAAGTGATTGAAGGAAGGACTCTATTGCTCTTAGGAACAGTGATGGTTGGTAGTTCCTGCACTGAGCTGATAATCTGTGGCTGGATTCCATTATGTGCATTATTAGTTGGCTCTAATTCTTCCTGGTCTACAGGGAGTACACTAAAAGTCACATCAGGGCCTGGCAAGTCATGAATATCATTAACAAATCCTGTTTGGCCCTGTGCCAGCCGCTTAGCAACTGCAGGTACAGGAGGAGAGCGTGGTGGCTGATGATAGGATCTCTCTTGTATGTCAGGTGATGAGTAAAGCATTACAGGTGCATTAGGTTCTCTTAATCTCACTGTCCTGTTGTGCGAGTGCTCTTTCAATGAGCGCTGGAGCACTTGTTTATTGGAGCGTGCAATACTATTAGCGATAGGTCTGTTTGATGAGGGTTTACCTCCAACTGCTCTCCCTCCTCCTCCCTGGCCTCCTGCCCTCACTCCTCCCGGCCGCTGTCTCCTCATTTTCTCCTCCGATTCGCTGTCTGATTTTTTACTCTCCATCTGTTTCTTTATAGCCTGTCGTCTTTGGACCCGACTCTCTCTGACTAGTCCAGAGGCCATTTTATTAGCATTGGCATTATTTGTGACTGCTCTGTCTTTATGCCTATTACTTGCTGCACCACTTGGTTCCTCTGATGATGTAGAATGGAGTGAGATCTGACTTCCAGTCCCTTGCACTGCAGCAAGAGTCTGTCTCCTACCTACACCTCCTTCTATTCCCTGGACTGCTTTGTGTCTTGGTGATTTATTGATTCCTCCTCCTCCTCCTCCTCCTCCTAGCTGTTGCTGTCCTTTAGAGGTTGCTTGGAGCATTGAGGGGCTCCTAAGATCGAAATCAGTTGATGAGTACAGCAGTGATGATGGTGGATGATTGCTGTTCTCTTGCTGATACGATGCTACTGCTATTCCTTCATGTTCTTCGTTATGACGACGATGAAGTTGCTGTTGTTTCATTTTTTCTTTATCTGCCGCCTCTTTGGCCAGTTGTCTTTGTTCATAGAGTGACGCTAGTTTCTGTGTGGCCTCAATCTGCATTATAGGATAGAATGGTTAAAATTTTGTAATAATTATAAAACTAACCTCTTTTTGTCTCTGCCTCTCTTTTTCTTTTTCAAACTCCCAAGCCAATTGCTGTCTTTCCTTTTCTACTCTCTCAGCTTCTCTTCTCTCCTCTAATTCTCTTTTATATCTCTCTTCCTCCTTTAGTCTCTTATTCTCTTCAATTTGTAGACGCAATTCCTCCTATTAAAAACAAAAGTGAACTAACATACTATATCAGACAAAAAAATATATATGCATCAAAATTTCATAAAACACTATACTAATTTCATACTCGATATAAAAAGTCTTTCATTTTATTTTCATCTTTATGCGACAGGAATAGATCTAAAGATGACCTAGGGCTGGACTGCACTTGACTGCTAGCAGCAGTCAGGTTTTGCTGTAGCTTGCTATTGACAGGCATTGTAGCCACAGCCTCTTCTCTCCTTCTCCTCTTCCCTCCATCATCATGCCCAGCATTGCTGTAAGGAACCTCTATAAAATATTAAAAATATAATTATGTTAAAATAGCATAAAAAGAAGCAAAACTGACTATTTGTTGGTCGTTGCTGCCACCCTACTCCCCTTCCTCCTCCTCCTCCTCCTACTCCGAAATCAATGCTGCTTTTCATTGCTGGGTGAACAGGACGGTTCATGGTCCCTCGGTGATAGCTCTCACCTCCGTGAGGTGGCGATACGTGAGATACATGTGGTATGTCACTAGTTGGTTGTGGCTCCACAGGAACCTCTTCATTTCTCCTTTTATTGTTAGTAGTAGTAGTAGTTTTATTGGGATGAGCTCGAGTGCCTAGAAATGAGAAATTAATAATACAAAATATTTATTAGGAGAAGCTGGTATTGTTCATAAAAATTGCGAGGTGTGAACAACAGCGTCAACTTGAGTGTAAATTAATTGCGATAGGTGTGAATCCAAACAATGGAGATAATGATGAAAACAATCTTTTAACAAACCTTTAGATCTATTGCCTGCTGCTTGATATTCTAATCCTGGTACCTCAGTGTGATCCACAATAACATGTGTTGGAGGAGATGGCCCTGCATCATGCTGTTCTAGTGGGCCTTTGCTAGCTTTGGAAGTGCTGGGAAGAGAAGGTGCATTAGAGGTAGGAGGAACAGGAGCAGAATAGTTCTGGCGTAGTAGCTGCTCTAGATAGTCTTTGCTGATAGTGACTGTCTCCTCTGATGACTGATGCTGCCCTGCCTTCCTACTAGCATGACCACTGCTTGGATTTGACTGTGGCCTGTTGATCAGAAAATGAATTTTTATGATAATAAGAAAAGAAAACTCACTTTCCCTTTGACAGGCACGGCTCTTTATCTTTCCTTTTAGTTGCTTCAGACTTTGACTTTGTCTTTACTAGGCTTTTGTTCAAAGCCAGAAAGTTCTAAAATAATCATAGATAGTCTAATCGATCATACTGCTACCAAGAAGGACGTTACCTTTGTTTTGCTGGGTACAGTGGAGTGCTGTGTCTTTCTGTCAAACTGAAGCATGGCTGTAAAGAAGGTAAGACTGACAAAGAACCACACACATGAGCTCTAATGGTGTGGCCATACAGTTATTTTGTTTATAGTTGCCAAGGCAACGGTTCGCCTACGCAATTTTGTGAATACCAATGCCCAATAATAACGCATGCTCTGCTTTTATGCACCATTTCTGTTAA